AAGACTGATTGTTCTTGGTAAATCTTGGTAACAAAACAAATTCATTGACGTTATAGAAGAATTTTACAAATTTCGAATTAAACACAAAATGGTGAACTTTGTGAAAGTCATGTTGTCGCAAACCCCTGGTTTTGCCACAGATGAGAGTTGAAGTTCATTGGGATGTGAAGCGACTCTTCCTGATCCCTAGCCACCATGATGACGTAATGTGTAGGAGCGATTAAGTACAGGTTGTGCTGTGCAGAAGATATTTCACTGCAGAAATGTTCCAACAACAGAGTTAACATGCAAGTAGTATTTATTGATAAAACCATCTCAAAATCGAGAGCAATATTGCTATTGGATTAATAAAGATGTATCCACAAGCCTGCTTGTTTACAGGGCTGCTTCACATTTCTGAATGTTTTGAATTGCAGAATATGGTTCTGTGCAAGCCTGGAAATTTAGTATCGTTTGCGATGTAAATTTGGGGTTTTACAAGTTACTGTGTATATTTGACTTTTATTTTGGTTTGAAATGCATTAATCAGTGCTCATTTATTCTAACCCCAAAATAGCATTGCAATTCCCCTTTAAGTTAGTACAGTATATATTCTCTCTGCATGCTGCCAGTGTTTGTTACTATACTGTAATAAATCTTAATTAAGATTAAGGTAATTTGTTAATGGCTGGGTTCCCAGCTGGCTTAACCAGTAAAGTTCTTGTTTCAAAATCAGGTTGAGCCCTGAAGCTGAATGATCTCTGGTTCAAGCCTGGTCTGTGTCATTAAGTGTACTGCGACTGGGTTCCCTCAGCCGGTGGTACACTGCTGGCTGAGCACTGTTAGAGTTGAGTGGGATTCAGTCACCCAGAATTTGGCTTGAAGTCCAACAAAAATACCTAGGATCTGTTAGCTTACAGAGATATAATGGAGAGATGCTCATCTATTCTAATTCCTCTGTAACACACTGTTGAGCTCATAGCATGTCGGAGGATGATTTTGGAAGGATCTTCCGTCTTGCTATGCAGTACAGGGGATGGAGTGTTAAGCCAGATCGATAAATAACTGACCACTCTAAATTGTGTTAATAGAACATAACTGGTAGTGGCAATGCCTTGCAGAAGTGTACATCTCTTTCCAATGATAGTGTTGATTGTGTCTATAGTGTTGAATTACAATTGGTGTGTACGTATTTTGTCAGTGAATATTTTTGTTTGAAATTTGAATGCTCAAAATTTTATGGGTGAAAGAAGTGTTTGTATATGGCACCGCACCAGATTTAATGAACAAAAATGTAGTAAAAAGCTCTTCACTCTAGGAATCCTGCTAGAGGAGTGTGGAGAAAATAATTGTGCAGCTCTGAATTATGTATACACAGTGCAAGTGAAATTCTTCACATCCTCAGCAAGCTGGGGATTCTGGTTATAACCTTTTTATATTTCACCAAGATATGGTTTTAAAATTGAATTTTGATGTTTGATTATATTAGGAATTAAAGCTGAACCATGAAACAATTCTCTGTTTTTTATTTTATTTGATTTAGTTTGGTGGAGATTTTGTCTTGGATGACGATGGCAAAGTGATTTACTTTCATCCCAGCAAGACTCCCGCAGACCGGCCTACAGTGACAGCATTGCTAACGGCCATCAGTGAAGCCAGCCCGGGTCACACTTAAGATTCTGAGGCATAGGAGGCTGGTGCAACAGAGAAGTAGCCTTGAGCTTGTATAAATGAAAACAGTGCTTGAACTCATGTCTTCATGAAGAGCTCTGTATGATGAGCATGAACAAGCTAGGGCAAAATGTTATTAATGACTGGTCATGAAAAAACTTTTCACTACATTTTTCATCTTCACTTTTTATTGAACTGTAATGCAAGAAATACCAGAAAAGTCGCTGGAGTGTGACAAGCTTAACTTGCATCGGCTGACAGACAAGATTTTTTTCCATTTGCTTTCCATTACTAGCATTTTGACATGGAAAAAATGGAATGCACTGAAGGAAACTGTACATTGGGTTCAAGTCTTCATATGTGTTGTCAGTACTGCTTATTAAAGTTTTATGTGACATCAACACTCTCCCTTTATTTAATTTCTTAATTGTCACTTTAAGTGAATACATGCAGACATTGTTAGTATCTAATGACTGCACTGTGCCCAGTTAATGATCTGCTGTTTTAATTATTTTATTGTGGTGCATTGCTATGTATATAATGGAAAAAATGGTATTCTGTTTATACAAACAGAAATACTATATATTTTAGAATGTCCTCACAAATATTCAGGTTTTTGTGGCATATGTAAAATAAAGGAAAGTTAAATTACTTACAAGAACACAAACAGGAGAAAAAGAGAGGAAGCTGTTCAGCACATTGTACTTGTTTAGTAGCTTAGTTCCTAAGTGAGTCTAAAATTCCATCCAGTGACTTCTTATCTCACAGTTAGAGCCTCTGTCTGCCTGGCTGTAAACCTGTTTCACCTGCCAATACATTGCATGAAAAGCAGCAGTTCCTGTTCCATTCTGAATAGATTTCCTTTGAGTTTCCAGTTGTGATACCGTGTCTTTGTTTCTCTAGCATGTCCCAGCTAGTCCTTTGTGTTGATCTATATCTATATCTCCCTTAGAATTGTTTTTGCACTCCAAAAGTATTGGGGCAATGATGTATAGGTCTTCCACTATCAACACTAAATTTTACACATTAAAACAGCACTAATAAATACAACTTTTAAGTATTTTATTTTTAATAATGTCAATTCAACTCTATACTCTTGGGTCAGTTGAGAATTATTGGAACAATTGCCTAAAAAGGTGTCTTTCATGGGCAGCAAGTGTTTGCTGTTGGGTAATTAGACACATAGAAATAGCTGTAAACATCATATCAACCTGTCTAGCCTTAACAACAACGGTAGCCTTCAGTGCCTGCAGTTCGTAGTTAAAAGTTAAAGGGAAAACCGTAGAACCTGTTAACAGCAGACAATTGTGAATCTTAAACTCTGAACCATCGCACCAAAATGGGCATACAGAACTCAACATTTTAGAATATACAGATAAAGTGAAACAACACATGTATAACCAACAATCATCCAAGACTGGGTTGGCCAAGAAAAAGATCTGCTGCTGATGAAGGAAACATTAGAAAGCCTAAAAATCAATGTCAGTGAAAATGCCAGCAACCTCAAAATGTAGGCAGGAATATTTCCTTATACACAGTTTACAAAGATTTCACTGCAATATAGAAAGCTCTCATCAGCACCAAAAACAGAAACATCAGATCAGACCTTTACTTAAGTGATGGAAAGTGAGGAGAAAGAAAGTAATTGCAGATTCACCAACGAACCACCTTATCTGTAATGGTACAAACAACGTCTTGGCCTGGCCAAGTATGACCGCCTCTAGAAATGACTTTCTCTTTTCTTTATTGATGAAGTATTTTAACTTATGCTATGGAAACATTTTGTCTGCTTAGAGAAAAATGCAGTCAGAAAGAAGTTTGTTTCATAATCTGAGTGCTTGTCCTGTTCTTTGATATGTAATTACTACTTGTCCTACTCTGTCTTGCTCTAGGTTCTGTCCTTTGATATGCAGCAGACATTAGTCTGCTTTATGATGTTTGTGGGTGTTCTTCCTGTCTTTTATTATGTACTGTAGCATTATGTCACTGGGGCTGCTAAAGCAAATCAACTTTATGGCATCTTAGTGTAACTTTTGCTGAAGGCTAAATTAACAGACCCCAGTAACACCTCTCATAATGTGCTTAAGTGGTGATATCGCGAGGCTGGATAAATGAGATAGATATACAGTGGTGTGAAAATGTGTTTGCCCCCTTCCTGATTTCTTATTTATTTGCATGTTTGTCACACTGAAATGTTTCAGATCATCAAACAAATTGAAATATTAGACAAAGATAACACAAGTAAACACAAAATGCAGATGGCCCTGTGTGAAAAAGTGATTGCCCCCTCAACCTATTAACTGGTTGGGCCACTCTTAGCACCAACAAGTGCAATCAAGCGTTTGCGATAACTGGCAATGAGTCTTTTACAGTGCTGTGGAGGAATTTTGGCCCACTCATCTTTGCAGAATTGTTGTAATTCAGCCACATTGGAGGGTTTTCGAGCCTTAACCGCTTTTTTAAGGTCATGCCACAACATCTCAATGGGATTCAGGTCAGGACTTTGACTAGGCCACTCCAAAGTCTTCATTTTGTTTTTCTTAAGCCATTCAGAGGTGGACTTGCTGGTGGATCATCGTCCTGCTGCAGAACCCAAGTGCGCTTCAGCTTGAGGTCACGAACAGATGGCCGGACATTCTCCTTCAGGATTTTTTGGTAGACAGCAGAATTCATGGTTCCATTTACCACAGCAAGTCTTCCAGGTCCTGAAGCAGCAAAACAGCCCCAGACCATCACACTACCACCACCATATTTTACTGTTGGTATGATGTTCCTTTTCGGAAATGCTGTGTTACTTTTATGCCAGATGTAATGGGACACACACCTTCCAAAAAGTTCAACTTTTGTCTGTCCACAGAGTATTTTCCCAAAAGTCTTGGGGATCATCAAGATGTTTTCTGGCAAAACTGAGACGAGCCTTTATGTTCTTTTTGCTCAGCAGTGGTCTTCATCTTGGAACTCTGCCATGCAGGCCATTTTTCCCAGTCTCTTTCTTATGGTGGAGTCATGAACACTGACCTTAACTGTGGCAAGTGAAGCCTGCAGTTCTTTGGATGTTGTTGTGGGGTTTTTTGTGACCTCTTGGATGAGTCGTCGCTGCGCTCTTGGGGTAATTTTGGTCGGCCGGCCACTCCTGGGAAGGTTCACCACTGTTCCATGTTTTCGCCATTTGTGGATAATGGCTCTCACTGTGGTTTGCTGGAGTCCCAAAGCTTTAGAAATGGCTTTATAACATTTTCCAGACTGATAAATCTCAATTTCTCTGTTTCTCATTTGTTCCTGAATTTCTTTGGATCGCAGCATGATGTCTAGCTTTTGAGGATCTTTTGGTCTACTTCACTTTGTCAGGCAGGTCCTGTTTAAGTGATTTCTTGATTGAGAACAGGTGTGGCAGTAATCAGGCCTGGGTGTGGCTAGAGAAATTGAACTCAGCTTTCCAAAGATGTGATAAATCATAGTTGATTTATGTTTTAACAGGGGGGGCAATCACTTTTTCATACAGGGCCATGTAGGTTTGGATTTTTTTTCCCCTTAATAATAAAAACTGCATTTTGTGTTTACTTGTGTTATCTTTGTCTAATATTTCAATTTGTTTGATGAGCTGAAACATTTCAGTGTGACAAACATGCAAAAAAAAAAGAAATCAGGAAGGGGGCAAACACTTTTTAACACGACTGTATATACTATGTCCCACTTCAGGCTGTATTTAGTATTGCTTGAAATCGATGGGTTAACCAGGACACGATTTAACTCTCTTACATAGTTCATGAATAGTGAACATCATTGTGTGTAAATTGTGATGAAGTTAGCAGAGAGAAATGCTCGGTTATGCATTCATTGGTCATTGTATTGCAAGAAATTATTTGTCCAGTAGGTTTCCTCATTGCACTGCTGTCTCGCTGGTCATGTGAAACACACTAGGTGATAAACTTGGTTGGTTTTTATTCTTGACAATAGAGGTTATTTTATATAGTAGTGTAATTTGGTTGGACTTTTTTATACAACACCCCTCCTTGAATTTTATTACAAGGTTTATTTTTTTAGGTTGCTCTCACTGTACATTATTAAAAAAAAGACCACAGTGGGATCAGGATTTGCTTGTTCTTAGGATGAGGTAATAGGTCTAGCATCCCAAAATCCCAATATTGTTTCCCATTACCATGGAGAGAAGAACAGCAATGATGCTGTTTGGTATAAAGACTGTCATTTGTGCAATTTACTCAGTACTGTATCTGTGTAGTTCTTCAATTGGTAAAAATATAAAATACAATTACAGAATGTTTTCAAACCAACGTTGCATGAAATGTTGCTTAGAGGTCAATAGCTTCTTGCAGGCAGAATTGTTCTTCTTGTTGTTTTTAATCTGACAGTCTGTAATAATTGTACATGTCAGAGATCAATGGGAGTGTTATGAATTAGAAAATAAAATGAGTTTATCATTGCAGTGAAGATTTGCCATACCAAACTCTATTTTGTTGTTGCAACAACCTTCTTTTCAAACCACACCCTGACATTATGTGAACTGCAATTCAAAGAAACACAATAACAGATTTAGAAGAGATTACCATGCCTTTATAACGCCACAGTTCCATGCTCTGTTCCAAATCAAGCAAAATCTAAAAGTAGATAATATTGAACCTCACCCCAGTCTCTGTCCAAACTGGGTTTCAGTGCCAACAACAGCAAAAAGAAAAAAAAAGGTTTACAGGCTTTAAAAAGGTGAAAGGAAACAGCAATGTTTGTAATTCACTGAAATGTATTAATCCTAGAAAAAAGAAAGAACCAGCCCTCAGGGAGAATATAACAAACATTGCAGAAGCAGTAGTCCACAAAAACAGGCAAATTAATGGTCTTTTTGAATTTCTCTCTAAACCACCAGCAAAGGTTCCTTACCCTCCATGCGGGAAATTTGCATCTGTTCTTCCTGCCCAGTTGTTTATTGAATTGAATCATAAATTGAACTAACAAGTTGCATAATTGAAACCTTTGGAAGTATTATCTTTCTACTAATATGCTGGAGATCTCAAGTGTCATATGAAACATATTAGTTAAAAAGTAACTTCCGGCATGTTAAGTAACTGACAACAAAGCATTCATATACAGTAAATCCTTTTATTGAGTGGGTTAATAGTTCAAAGACCTTCGCTGGAATGAAAACTGGCAGCTTTTTGGGTCCACAGGGGAACCTGTGATGCTCTAGAGCCAGAATGGGGAGCTGGGAGAAACTGTTAAATTGGCACTAGGCAGTAATGAGCTGACTGAACCACTTATGAACCAGAGTCTGTCTCAGCAAGCAGCAGGTGCAAGGCAAGATGCACCCTGTATGGGACTCGCAGGGCAGGCACATGGACACACCAGGGCTGATTTTCCCAGAAGCGAATTAACCTACAAGTATGTTTTG